AGGATCTAAGGCCTGTGGAAGAGCAGGGCTCTGCACAGCATTGCTCAGACACTTGCAACAGGTGCATTTCTCCCATCATCCTGGTCCAAGAAGACACCAGGACCTGCTCATTGGGCACAAAACCACTGAACGTTGCTCAGCACCGTCCTCTCACCTCTCTCTGGCCACCATCAGTGCAAAACAGGAACAGAAACACGACCAAGAGCCAGGCAGTGGAAAGAGAAGAACCACGCCAAGAACAAGCCAACAACTCTGTAGGAATATTCATCTGCTTTTTCATATTTCAGGGCTCCAAGAAACACAGCAGAACTGGATCCATGACCCTGGTGCTCCCCAGGCATCCCCTGCTCCTCCTTCCCAGCCTGTGCCCCGGCACTGACCACTCACAGGCACAGAAGAGGCGTTGTAGCTGCCAGCTACTGTGGAGAGCAGCCGCGTCCTCAGAGCCAGACACCAAACCTCCTTTTCCCTTCAAAATCCAGCTGAGAGTTTCCTACCATGACCCAGAGCATTTGATGACCCAACTCTGCAAGACCAGCCTTTGCATGCCATGTTCTGCTTCCTCTAAATGACCCTTTGAATCAACTGAAACCACTCTGAAAGATAAACCTGCCAGCTCCTGCATCTCCAGCTCACTCTGTGCTCCCTTCCCGACAACTCTTGGGCTGTCTGGAGAAATCTGGGCAAATTCTTTGGCCTCCAGTTTCCTCCCTGCAGATGCCAATGCTGGCTGCTGGTCAATAAGGGAGAGAAAAGCCCCACAGAAGACCCAGGTGCTGGGGGAGAACTTCTCCTGGGCTTTTTAAAGGAGCCCTGTGAACCCAGAGGACAAGCAGGGTCCACCTCACTGATGGGACGTGGGCACACAAGGCTGGGGAGAAACAAAAGGTCAATAAAACCAGCTTCTGGTTTAAAAGCAGCAGGAGAAGGCAGAACCATGGAGCCTGTGGGCTCTGAGGCAGAAAAACATGCAGTTGTGAAGCAAGACCCATCAAAGCACCAGGCCAGATCCAAGAGCTGAGCACTGGAGTGGGAGCTGGTTTTCTCAAGAGCAGAACGTGTCTCCAAACCATATGTTGAAGAAACCTCATCACCCAGCTATGCAGGGCAGTCTGGGGGAAAACCAGCACAAAACAGAACCAGCACGAGCTGAGGAGAAACAAACCCTTGGGAGAGGGGAGGACCGAGGAGCCAGCTGGGAAGCCCACAAGGTCTCTGAGTTTGGTTTTGGGCTTCTCTAGTGATGAGTATCCACATGTGCTGTGGACACCAGGACCTCAGCACATCCCCAGGAACTTAATCACACACATCCTATTCTCATATCAATTTTTAAACCCTAGCTGTATTAAAAAAAGTCTTGTGATATTAATATTAATATTATTTATTATAATAAAGAACAGTCAAGCAGCGTGAAAAAAATATATCTTAGCTACATTACCTTAAATTGCCAAAAATATACACATTTTTCTCTTTTATTTAATACAAAAAAAAATCAAAACAAAAAAACAAAACAAAACAAAAAAAAGACACATGCAACATACTAAATGAGACATCAGCATCAAAACGGGTAAAGAAACGTACCCCAGTGCAACTGAAACACAGATAATCTTTAGCTTTTATTTCTTCCTTCCCCTGCTCTCCCTCTTTTTCACAGATACACAATTGTTTCATGTCGACCTTCCTGCAGTGTCCCCCCCCTTCTCCCCTCAATCTGCCAAAGGGACCTTTGGCTCTGGGACAGGCTGAGGGGATCAGACAAGGAGAACACGTCAAAGGGCTTTGGAAGATGTCAGAGAAATGTGTTAAGTGCTTTATGTCTCTTCCCCCACTCGTCCTCTCCAGCCTCATCCCTCCCTGCTCTGGAGAATCCCAGAGAGCAGAGGGACTTTGGACTCAAACTCCTGCCACCAACACTCCTGTCACCACCACAAATCAAGGGCACGGCCAGCGCAGAGCAGGGGGGACAGGGACGCTGCGCTGCTCAGCCCTCCCCGTGTTTCACACCCATCCTGCCCACAAACCCCACTCCTCGACTTCAGCCCTCGATTTCCAACCTCTTCCAAAGATTCTCCCAGTAGCAGAGACCAGTACAGCAGGTTGCAGCCCCCTGACTGCCAACTCACCGTTCAGAACCTCTCACCAACCTCTCACAAAGCTTCTGTCATTGCCCAGAGATCTGGGCACCAAAGCACTGACCAGCACAAGGTTTTAGTTTGTCCCAGGAGAGCAGGCGCGTGGTACCACAGCTCGTCACGCCGGGGAGAGACGCTGACCAGCTGTCCCAGCCCCGCTCCTCCTGGTCCTGTCTTGTTCCTAATCCCAAGGTGTGAAATGTGGTTAAATTTTGGAAGAATTGGATCAGGTTTGGGTATGGTGTCAGGCCCTCATGGTTAGAGTGCTCTGAAGGGTCGTGCTGATGGGTCAGTGTGACAGCAAAAGAGGTGGCAACGCCAATTTGGGACCTTTGAGTTAAAAAGTAAAATAAAATGAAATGAAAATCAAACGCAGCTGGCAGAGGCCACATCTGCACATTTAAGAGCCACTGTTTCACCCCCAACATTTCTGTCCATCATCTTGCTGACCCAAACCAGCTCTAAGCAATGTCTGTTCCCAAATCCCAAGGACCTGTTGCTGGCCAAAGGTTGGAAGATAACGACCTTCACATGCACAAACAGGGCACTTCAGGGCAGAGTTTGGTGTGGCAGCCCTGAAAAAGCTATTCCAGGTGTGGCTTTCAAGCCCAAGACTCCTCACATGTGGAGGGGGCAGTGAGGCCAGACCCTGGGGTGGTTTGGGTGGCATTTTGGTGGGTTGGGAGGAAGGGACAACACAGCTGGGACAGGGGAAAAAAAAAAAGGAAATAAAAAAAAGTGCAAGCACACAGTTGTGCCAGAGCAATTCTGGGGACAGGGAGTCAAAATTAAGAGTCAAACCATTTGCAACTGAAAAAAAATCTCATTCACAGTTGGTACGTACCAGGCAGATGGGAGGTGACACAGCTCAGGCTGTGACCTGCTGGGGAGGTGGCTGGGGACAAGGACAGGGTCAGCAAGAGCCACGGGTCAGTGCTGCTCTCTAGGTCTGTGCTGCAGAGACCACAAGGAAGCTTTTTCTTTTTTTTTTTCCTGCATTTTTCACTTTTAGCTGCCATCTCCATCTTTCCAATAACTTCTTAACCTTGTTAAAACATTAGCTTTTCTTTATAAAAAAAAAAATTATATATATAATATATATATAGATAGATTTCTGAGCAGACAGCAGCGTTCTGCCCAGTTCACAGAACTGGAGGCTGAGATCAGAAAGGTATTTTCTCACCTTTTAGCCTTATTCAACCATTGTGGTGACAATCTTCCAGACAGACAGACAAACAAAAGAAAAGAAAATAATAAAAAAAAAAATAATAAGAAAGACTTTTAGCAGATGAGTTTTTTTTTTGCCTAGAAGAAGCTTTTCTTGTATGATCAGCACAGACCCACTGCTGACAAATCTGAATAGTGCAAACTAGTGAGGGGCAGTGGGAATGTGCTGAAAAATATCCATTAAGGTTTGACAATTTTTTAAAAAATGTTTGGTTGGTGGTTTTTTTTGTTGATTTTTTTTTTTTTAAGACCCTCAGAATTTCTACTAGCTGGAGTCTTCCCACCTGCCCCCCTAAGAGCTCTGGATTTAAGCAGGGGATGAGGAAAAGAAGACACATTTGTACGTTTGACGTAGATGTTTCCTTTCCCCCAGAGCTGCCCCACTTGTCCTTCGATCAATCCATCACATCCAAGCTCAGAGGAAGCAGATTTCTTTGCTGAGGTTCCAGGCTGCAAGATGGAATTAAGGTCAAAAGGTGGAGAACAATGAAGGGTCCAATGTCCTTGGCTTAGGAGACTGGTAATAGTCCCATTGCTTGGAGATCCCTTTTCTGAAGTGCCCAAGATCAGTGGAAGAACATGGGGTTTTTTTTGCCAGACTGGAGTGATTTGTGGTGGGTAGGAAAGAACAGGTACCAGATCTGGGATTCTCTCTTCCCCACACACATTTCAGTCTCCCAGTTTAGGCCTGGGAAACAACCACCAGGTTCAAATGCACCTTCTGAAGTTGGCTACGACAGGGGTAATACTGGCTACGGCCCCTTTTCGCAAGCTGCAATTTTAGCCTTTGGAAATCTTGGAAGGAAAGAGCGAGAGGCAGCACAAGGAGCAGGACTGTGCTTACACGTCAAAAGTACAGCACCAAACCACCAGCAGCTGGCAGAGCAGATGTGGCCATGTCCTTTACAGAAGCAGGTGGCTTTCACCTCCTCCCCAAGCACCGGTCCTCACCCATCGCTCCACCGCTCGTGTCTTTTCAGGCTGGGTTTGGATCCAGCTGAGGTGTCGGGGCTTCATATGATGGCTATAGAGAGAAGAACATCCTGAAAGCCCAGCAGATGAAAAGCAGTTGAGAAATTTCAGCTACAGGACTTCTTCTGAACCTCCCCATCTGGGTGAAGCAGACCACGTAGGCATGGCCACCAGGTCCCACTTCCCCAGCTGTGTCACATCCAGCGCTGCCTCCGTGGGCGTTGCCAGATTCCTCTGCAGAAAGGAGTCCTCAGCAGAGGGGCCTCCTTCCACCAAGGTCTTGGCCAAGGATGCTCCATGGTCTCTAATGCCTCAGCCTGGGGGGGTGGGCTACACACACACACACACGTGAACACATGTGAGGAGACAGGCAGGCATCTGGTGTTAACTCACTCCTCCACTCCACGTGGAAACACAGCTTCCCTTTGAGCACGTGTGGCATGGACCAGGGCGGCAGGAAGCCCCCCCACATTCACTCCTCCCGATACCAGGGCTTGGTCAGAGACGTACTGTCTTCCAAAGCACCTCTTGGCATTGCCCAGCGGCAGGAAATGCTTCTTGGAAGCCTTGTGCTCATTGCTCTAACAGTATCAAAGTTGACTGTGGAAAAGCCACATTCCCCTGGTTGAGAGGAGCTGGCTGCTGGTTTGTTCAGGGTGAGGGGGGAGCTTATCCCTTGTCCTGGGTAAGAGGAGCTCCCTTTTCATTCATGCTCTTTAAAAACAAAACAAAACAAAACAAAACAAACAGAAAAAGAGACGCAGAGGAGACAGGTATCAGTACTGGACAGGGAGCGACACGAGGGGGCAGAAGCAGAGAGCCCTGCTGTGCTGAGGACCTGGCCCTGCTCACCATGACCTCTCCAAGGTCAACAGAGACAAGGGAGCCCCAGCCTTCCCCTCTGCCCAGTTCAGGCTGAACTGGCCCCTCGACCCTGGCCTTTGGCTCTTAAATGTTTCCAACCAGGGCTGAACCTCCTGGGTACTGGTATAGGCCAAGGGAGGGATGGAGGAGAGGTGGAAGGATCACCCCATCAGTCCCTAGACACTGGTGTTCCAGTACCAGGCTGCTTTACAGAGAGGCTGTAAACCTCTCCACAACCTCTCCTCTTGGGTGCAAGATTCCTTCTAAACCCTTCGTTTCAACATGCAGTCACCTTGGAATTTCCTCACGAGGCTCCAAAAGGGCCAGCACTGCCAAGGGCACATTGTCCCATCCAAGTCTTAAAGAGTGAAGGAGACAAATCTATGGGCTGTCTCTGCCTTGCTGCTGCAGCAGATCTGCTGTGTGTCTGCACACACACACACACACACATGGAAAGGCACCTTGGGAGCTTCTGTGCCTACCCCACGACCCTGTCTGGGCCCTAGAGAAGTCCTTGGAGGTGGGATCAGGACGTGACACTGGCTAGGCAGGGATGCAGCAAAGCCAGGGGAGCATCCTGGCTCTGTTGCCCACGCGGTGCCCTTGCTCCCCCACATTAACTGTAGTGCAGACTGTCTCTCCCCGGGTCTGTACAGCACCCAGCACCCACCACGAGCAGGGTGGGGTTAGGGGAGTGCTAGCAGCATACGCACCGTTCCTTTCGGGGTGTTGCCATCAGGCTGCAGGTTGAGAAACGGGTTAGTCTGTGCTGTAAGGACAGGTGGGATGCCTGTCCCAGAAGCCAGGAGGCTGTTCCCGGGAGCGCTGAGCGGTGGGGTGGCCTGGGGAGCCATGAGGGCATTGCTAGGGTTGAGTTGCTGGGGGGAGAGGGAGGCCATAAGAGAGCTGCTGCTGGGGGGTGGCTGAGGGGCCGAGGTCATCAGGGCGCTGGTGCTGGAGTGCAGGGGGGCGGAGGTGGCTGCCAGGAGGCTGGTCATGGACAACTGGGACGAGCTTGTCATCTGCAGCCGCTGCAGCTCCCTCTTCTGCTGGATTTGCTGCATCATCTGGAACACCAGGGCCTGCTGCTCCTGCAGGGAAGGGTGAGGAAAAGAAGTCAAAGGAGGGACAAAGGGCTCAGGAAGAGGTGACACCTAATACAAAGGAGCTGGGAGCCACGTCAGCACACTCCATCCCAGGCAACGCTACTGAGGACAGCAAGGAAGTCCCCTTGATCACATCTCTCTAGGGTAGAGAGGGGAACAGTCTGTCTTGTGTTCATTAACAGTCCGTGCTTAATGACCTTTCCAACCCTGTTGTTTCCTGAAGCACAGGATTAGCTAACCCTCCCTGAGACACCTGCCAGCACACAAATCTCCTCTGCTCCTTCCAACCGACAGACCCATGGATTTTAAGTCTGTGTCCTGAATTTCTAGGCTGCCTGCTGATTTCCTTCCCCAGCCTGTCCTGCTTCACAGCTCAGCCCTGACCTAGAGAGTCAGTGTAGGTAAGCTGGACCCAGGGGAAGATGAGGGCCATGGCTCACCTGCACCTGAAGAGACACCCTCAAATCCAACCAAACTGCAGAAATCACTATAGCAACCATCAACCAATGCAGCAGGCTGAGAGCTGACATTGTTCCCGCAGCCACAGGGATGCAGCTGATGACATGGTGACATCAGCTGCTGTAAAGAGAAGCCCTTTGAAATTTGCTTTTCCCCGGTTATAAATAGCCTGACCCAGAAATCTACCCAAAGCAACGAGCCAAGTTCATGGGAGATATAAATGAGTACAGCTTCATTGACGGGAACTGTTAGCACTCCCATGCAACTGCACCTCAGGGGAGGGACATCACAGAGGCTTCTGCAGGGCAAGCAAATGTGGTTCCTACATGCTCAGGGGCTTGTTTACCATCTACCCGCCCAGCAGTTCCCACAACAGCCTGGGATGGGGCTGCTGTTTTACCGTAGAGGATGCAGGCAGAGAGCCAAGATCCTCACAACAGCTGCCTGATCCTTTTTCTGACCCCAAAGTTCTCAGCCACCTACACAGTCCCCCCCGGCATCTCCAGTTCTCCATGTCAATATGCCCAGACACAGCTCACCTGCCTCAGGACTAAGCAGTTTGGTGTTTATCTCTTTCTAAACTCAAGTTGTGTCCTCAAGCGAGTTCCTCTTCTCCCGTGGGCCTCAGCACATCTGCAAGCCCAGCGACCAGCGTGCTGGCGGCAGCAGGAGCAGACATGATTTGCATTCAAGGATGGCTGGAGGAGGTAACAGCACTCCTGTTTTTACAGCAGTTTAGCTTTACCATGTTCTCACACCCTCAGGATGTGGGAAACCCAGATTAAATTTTTTCCTTTGTACTAAAAGGTTCAAGTCCTCATCTCCCCTCTCCAGGAGGTGCCGCACCTTCCTGCCTAAAGCTTTTCTCCTCACTCCACCCACAGCAGCCAGGAGCCAAGGAAAAGGCACATGACCCTGCAGCCCTGTGGGCAGGGGATTCATGTGAAGGAGGGGAGTCCTAAATTTTGCTCTCTGCTCCAAGGCTTTTCCCATTAAACAGCTCATCAGATAAAAGGTGTCAGCGAGCACACTTACCGGATTAAGCGGCTGAGAAGTCAGGAGCTGCTGAAGCTGCTGGAGCTGTTGTTCGTGTTGGTGCAAGACGTGCCGCTGCTGCTCTGTCAGGGGACTCAGGCTGGGCACGCTGCAAGGGGAGCAGGGCAGGGAATGTCAGCACAGCTCGTCTTGGTCCTGCACACACAGGGCCTCCTTCCATCCATCCATCCATCCATCCATCCATCCATCCATCCATCCCTTCCTCCCTCCCGGTGCTAAGCTTCTGCTGGAGAGGGCAGGGCTGTCCCCGCGAGCTCCCCGTCCTCACCTGCTCAGGCTGGTGGAGAGCTGCAAGGTCGGAGGCCCGCTCGCCTGCGTCAGCGCGCTCGGAGGCTGGGCAGCCTGAGCTCCGTTCAGATTCCCCAGGATCCCGTTGATGGGCATCTGCTGACCTCCTGCCAGGGTCCCCATCAGGCCGTCCACCATGGGCACCGTGGAGAGGCTGTGGCTGGCAGTGGTGCCTCCCCCCAGCCCGCTGCCTGCCACCCTGGCCAGGCCATTCACCTGCTGCACCCCAGGCAGGGGTAGCGAGGCAGGACTCTGCTGCAGCATGGGCAGGGGTGGAGGAGTGCTGTGGAAGGACAGGGAAGAGCTGCTCCTGCTGGGGCAACCTGAATGAGGGTCCTGGGGGAGAAACGGACATAAGAGCATCGGACTGGGGCAGCTTGTGAAAGGTCAGCTCAGCTCCAAGGGTGCTTTGGACAGGAGCCAGAGGTGGGAAGAGGGGGCTGTGAGTGCAAGCCCAGGTGTATGCTCAGAGGGGTCCCAGAACTCAGATATGCTTTGCTGGATCTCTAGAAGTGTGGACAGAATAACCTAGAAGCACTCTCACCTCATGCTCCCAGCCTCAGCTACTGTACTCAGACCCTCAGCACTGACATGAACTGAAGAACGAGCACTCCAGAGAAAGAGACCTGATTTCTGGGCTGGGACTACGAGG